TGGATAGTGTCGGCCTGCAGACTGAAAGGTCCCAGGTTCAATTCCAGTCAAGGGCATGTACCTTGGTTGTGGACACATTCCCCGTCGGGGGTGTGCAGGAGGCAGCTGATGGATGTTTTTCTCTCATCGATGTATCTAACTCTCTATCCTTTTCCCTTCCTCTCTGTAAAAAAAATCAATAAAATAAAACAGATAGGTGAAGACATTCTATAAAGGGTCTCATATATGTCTATGTATATGAAGGTAATGTGCATCCCCTTTTTTCCTATTAAGTCCCAAAAATGGCTATTTGGGACTTATTAGGAAAATGAAAGGTCTATGAATACCTTTTCTGAGAGACTAACATTGTTTATTTTGAGAAGTAAAATGTGTCTTGATAATTTTCAGTCATGTCTGTAACCCCAAAAGTAGTAGAGTGTTCTGGCAAGGCTTTGTATTGTGGCCTTAATACATTGAAGATGTGTGATTTCTTTTATACTTTGGATATGTGGAAGGCAAAGAGTCCCATAGTTGGTCTGGGCATATCTTGGTAATTATCAGTCATGTCTGTAACCCCAAAAGTAGTAGAGTGTCCTGGAAGTCTAATTGAAAGGGGCAATTTTAGGCGACGGCCCAATTGTTTATAATAAATATGAAGGTGAGGCGTGTTTGTTGACCAGGGTATCCAGCACTCAGATGACTACTAAAGTTTGGCTAAGTGTGTTTTGTCTAGGTTCCTATCCTTTATTAAGAACATCCTGGCTAAGATAAAAATCTGCATTCCACTGAGCTCCATCCTGTATGACCGTTAGCTATCCTGTGTGCATAGTCTATGGATTCCCATTGCTATTCATTCAGTGAATCCCAAGTGGCTTCCCAGGTAGCCTTGTGGACTAGGGGTGGCATCCTTTAGTAGCATGGCATGTAGCAAGAAACAGAGGACAGGGAAAACCACATCCTCATGCTGGTGAAATATGCTAAAGAGCACATGTTTGGCTCCACTCTGTCTTAAAGAAGCTTCAGTAGCAGTGCTGTCTTTCTGATGTGCTGTTCCCAAGACCCATAACTAATAGGCAGCTGGTTATGAAAGGTCACAGCAAGAGCCTCTGTTTTCCAGAGAGCCCAGCATGTATTTCATTTGTTGTTTTAACAGAGTATAGAATGGCTAAGAAGGGCAGTTTCTTACATCAGAAGCCCTTGGGTAACTTATAGCCATCCTAAGTTGTTCAGAGACTCCAGGAGGCAACAAGAGATAGCCAGTTTCTTGAGGGAACTAGCAGGAGTGCTGTTGATTTTAATTTGGAAGTAAAAATTGTAAATGTAATATCATCAGAACCCCTGAAGTACTAAAAGATGTTGGACCTGTAGATCCTAAATGATTGCATTAAAAGAATCTCCTTGGAGGAGAATGCCACCATGTAATGTCACACCTGTTTCTGGAAGAAGGTGGATACAGTGGAGATCCTATCTGCAAAGAATGTATGCAAAGCTGTTGAAATACCCAATGGGGAGCCTGGAAAAGGTGCATTGTGTCACTTTGAGGTGAAGACAGACCGCAGCCAAGAGGCTGTTGAAATAAGCACTGAACACGTCAGCCAAATCTACAAGAGCAAAATATGTGCCAGTTGTTGATTGAACAGAATCAGTAATTTTAATAATATTGAATACTGGGTATGAGGGCCACAATAGATATTAACATCATAGTGATCCATCATAAAGGTCTTTTTTATCTTTTTGTTTTATTCATTATTTTGTATGTTAATCTATAATAATAAAAGTGTAATATGCTAATTAGACCAGGTGTCATTCCGGATGAAGCCAGGGCTGCAAGGGAAGCCCGGGTCCCAGGTGCCAGAGGGAAGCCAGTGCTGGCAGCCAGGGGAAGGAAGGCCTACTCTTGCACCAATTTCATGCATCGGGTCTTTAGTATAAACATTTTGGGCTTCTAATGGGATCAAATTATAAAACTTTGTTATTATATATGTATTTATTACTTACCTTTTATTTTCTCCCCTTGTATTTTGTTTGTTTTTAAATAAGTAAGTAATCTAGGACTAGAATTATGTTTGCTCAACTGGCATTTGCTTATTGCCTAAGATTTAGTTTCTGTTTTTCTCTTTGGGCTTAGAGTCATCCAAAGTAGCCATCTTTTTTCATTTTCTTCCTTTTTCAGGCTTTTGCTCCTGAAAGTGTAGTACATCTTTACTTTATCTGGCTAAGAGGGGAAGGGGATGTTTCCTTTTGGATGTTTACCTGATAAGCTCCTGGTGGTGCCAAGTGACCTTTGCTGTGAGCTGTGGCCCCTTCCGTAGGGTGTCCCAATCAACCATTGCTAGGAAAGCAATGGTGGCATCAGCTCTATTTGTGCATGAGACCCTTTGCATACTGACAAGCAGCATCTCTCAGGAGAGCCCATGCACACGTGGCAGAAGGAAGGAAGGAGAGAGGTTTCCATGATAATGATAACATGTTGAACATCCTGTTATGTGTAACAAAGAGATGCTTGTAAGAATGCCACTAAAATGTCAGTGGTGGTTATCTCTGGTAGTATAATTCTGCATGACCATCACGTGGGTTTTTTTTGTAAATTTTCTATGTTGCATGAATTTTTTACGATGAACATGTATACAGCATCCCTCGGTATTTGCAGGGAATTGGTTTCAGGACCCCCCATGAAAACCAAAATCTCAGGATGCTCGAGTCCCTTATATAAAATGGTATAGTACACACATCTTCCCATCACTTTAAATCATCTCTAGATTACTTCTAATACCTAATACAATGTAAATAGTTGTTATAATGTATTATTAGGAGATAATGGCAAGAAAAAAACTCTGTGTTCAGTACAGACACAGCCATCACAGGCCTAATTAGTAACAATGTTAGTAACAATGTAACTTTTTTGGGAAATATTTTTGATTCACAGTCGGCTGAATCTGCTGATGTGAAACCCAGAGATGTGGAGAACGGACTGAATTTATATAACTAGAAAGAAGTAATACACTCTCTTAGGTACTGACCTAGTTTGCAGAGACATTGCTAAATGCATCAAAAAGGTTGGAGTTGTTGGTAAATATGGGACCCGTTATGGTGCCTCCCTCAGGAAAATGGTGGAGAAAATTGAAATTAGCCAGCACACTAAGTACACTTGCTCCTTCTGCGCAAAATCAGAATGAAGAGGTGAGCTGTGGGGATTTGGCATGAGAATAGTAGATGATGGTGCCTAGACTTACAACACCATTGCTGCCGGCACAGAGAGATCTACCATCAGAAGACTGAAGGAATGGAAAGACCAATAGAAGCTGCACAATTTGAAACACTGCTAGCCTAAAATAAATGGGTTAATTTATGTTTAAAAAAAAAAAAAAAAGCAATACAGTTATTTGCAATTTAAAGGAAGTTTTATTTTTCCTTAAAAGTAAAAATAAATAAATAAATAAATAAATAAATTCCAATTTCAATAGAATTCTTTATTTTTTATTATTATTTTTTAATATATTTTATTGATTTTGTACAGAGAGGAAGGGAGAGGGATAGAGAGCTAGAAACATCGATGAGAGAGTCATTGGCCAGCTGCCTCTTGCACACCCCCTACTGGGGATATGCCCGCAACCAAGGTACATGTCCTTGACCGGAATCGAACCCGGGACCTTTCAGTCCCCAAGCCGACGCTCTATCCATTGACCCAAACTGGTCTCGGCTAATTTCAATAGCATTCTTTAAAGTCATAAGCATACTATCCTCATCAAGAGGAGCAGGGAAGTGAGAATAAAATTGTAATAGCTTAAGAAAATCAACAATAAAGTAAATTTATATAAAACATCTGTCCAGAAAGGTCTGATATGAGGTCTAGCACTTACACACTTAAAAATTTGACAACTGTATACTTGATATTCAAGCTCATAAAAACTTCTTTTACACATTTCTTGCTGATAAGAATCAGGAAGAAAGGAAATATAAGATTAGCTTTATGATAATAATTTATGGGTTGACACAAAAAAGAGAAGACAGTAAACTAGAAATTTTATAACATTTTATGTTTAAGCCAGGCTCCCTGTCAAGAAATTTTCTGTCTTGATGAATGAAGTAGAACTTCATCACATCTTAATAAGATTCAGAGAAAGGAAGTTCAAATATGAGTACAAGCTGCCATCTGCTGTGTTAAAATAAAGGCAACATGGGATTTTCCCCAAGTTAAAAAAATTCCTGTGGTGCACTTTTTGAATTCTGGGAAAAACTGAATTCAAAAATATTTAACACAAAGCTAGACAACAGTCAACTAACTGAAATCACTACAAAAACCAAATTCGTGAATAAGAATAAAACATTTTTATGCCTACTTTTCAACTATTATTTTTGATATGAAAGTGAATGTGAACAGATGGATGGTGTAGCCAGTAGAAAGTCAGTGCTGTTAACAACCACTTGCTCATCCTCAGAGACAGCATCTTATAGCTCACACAGTCCACTCAAGATCCCACATGGGGTGCCATGACTTATCTCCTTATACTATAGCAATAGCCCGCCCTAGGCCACAGCAATTGGGATCAAGAAATATGTTTTGATTAAATATACTACACAGAAGCCTGTTTTAGAATTTCATGCAAATACCAACCACATTTTTTGGTTGTTGTTAATCTTCATCTGAGGAATTTTTTCCATTTAATTTTAGAGAGAGTGGAAGATAGGGGCAGAGACACAGAGAGAGAAATATCAAAGTGAGAGAGACACATCAACTGGTGGCTTCCTAACCACACCCGGACCAGGGCTGGCGATCAAGCCTGCAACCAAGGTACATGCACCTGAGGAATTAAACCCAGGATTCTTCAGTCCAAGGGCTGACGTTCTATCTACTGAACCACACTAGCGAGGACATATTTTAATCACATTTTAAAACATGAGGAGAAAAAGCATCCAAATCCAGAGCTAATTTAGCTATCACTGAACAATTTTAAAAAATAATGTAACAGTCCCATTAAAATTTTTTCATTAACAGAGACACAAAGGCACAAAGGTGACATTCATCCTTCCTCATCACTGCTGCTCCAGGCATCTTCAAATGCTGGGTTTAAATGTGATCTGGTTGAGGTCTAAAAAGAGAGGGGAAAAAAATATTTGATTAATCTATCTCATGATTTTAGATTCACAATATAGTTATTAATATATCAGATAAAAACAATTAGGTATTTTGAAAGAAACAATATAATTGTTAATTATAAAACGGGTAATGTGAGAAACACCCCACATACTATATAAGATCATGTAATTTCATTTTAAATAGACATACCAGACTTTATCCAAATTACCTATGTTTCCCTCAAAGCAGTTACCTCACAACACATACATACATGTGTGAGCTCATGAGAGTGTACATGCATATACCATGATGCTATTGCTTAATATATTTCTGCAACTCTTTGGAATTATCTGGAGAAAGTGACAAATTACCATCCATATAGCTAAGATTGGAGCCAGGTCTATAGTCTGACTAGACAACTTTTTATTGTTTGGATGGACCTGACTTCTATAAATAAGCAAACATCGGAAAAATGAAGAATAAGGTATTCATTAACCTAAGAAATACAATATTTGGTTCAAAAAGTAATTTGGGTTATTATGTTGTGAGGTTTATTTTTTATGGTTGGTAAAGGGGTTCAGAAGCAATGCAAAAATGTGTCAGAAATGGTAACATGCTTGTCATTAGCACTAGGTTTCCCTGGGAGATTTCTTGGAAAGATAACATGCATTTGCTGATGTTTATTTAAGACAATAAAAGATCATAGTATTCTGACGGCTTTAGAGTTATACCTAATAAAGGTAATCAGCAACTAGAGGAATTTAAATTATTTGTGGTATTTTAAAGCAACTCACTTTTTCGGAAAACATTTTAAATGGTTACCTTCTTATTCTCTGGCAAATGACTAAAGGGCTTTAAGATGGTCTCATTTTTTTGAGTGTCTGGGCATTATAAGTCAGGTTTACTTCTCATTCTGCTGCTTTAACATTTGCTATAAGACTTCAAATTACCACCAAGACTACTCAAATTATCTTACATGTATTGCTTTTACAACATACAGCAACATACAGCAACATTCTCAGACATACACTAGGTAATCCCAAGGATGACATAATTTTATAATTCAAACAATGATGATGGTAGAACAAGTAGACATCCAGTAAATACCCAAAGTATTATATCAGCCAGGATGGTTGTAAAACAATATATTAATTTAGGTATTCTTTATAGCTGTCCTGTAGTCTATTACTAATCTAATGTTGGCTATTGCCACTACCGTGTTTCCCCGAAAATAAGACATCCTCCGAAAATAAGACCTAGCGCAACTTTGGGAGAAAAAATTAATATAAGACACTGTCTTATTTTCGGGGAAACAGGGTATTACTAAACCTAATGTTGACTGTCATCACTTATTTGTACAACAAAATTCAATTGTACCCCAAATGTCCAGATACCAAACTATTTCCAAATTTCAGCCAACCATTTATTTCTAGCAGCAGTCTATGCATTTGTAAGAGTAGTGTACTGAACTATATTCATTTATTCTTTCATCCAAATGTTTACTGGGTTTATAACTTAACTACTAAGTTATCTAGTGAGAGTTTATTCAAAGACGCATTGTCCTTAGGGCAAGGTGATATTTCTCTTTCCTACTCTATCTTTGGGAGTCTTTAACTTTACCAAAAACATCCCTGGATAAACCATATAATGGTCCTGCCTCCAAATTCTACTATGGAAGGCCATTATGTAACCTATTAAATATTTAAATTTCATTTGGAGAGTCAACAGAGAAGTAAAATTATATTTTACTGTATATTATTTTTGAGCAAAGAAACAAAAATAATTAAGTGAAAATTGAAATGTAGTTGAATATAAATGTTACTGTTTGTAGTAGTAATATACTACTAACATTACTTCTTATACTGTAATGTATTATAGGAAGTATATTTTATTGCTAAAAATCACAAATGAAGCATCATACTTAAATTAAAAGCTGCAGTAAAAATATGTATGGATGTATACACATATTATTGCTTGAGACCCACTGACCAAGTGTAGCTACCGACAGTTTTCTCTACAACATCTCCTCCTAGTGGACATCCTTTCTATGCTTGAACATCTCTACCTTACCAGGCTGTCCGTTCTATTGACAGATAATTGCAAAAGTCACGGAAATAGGAAAGCATGAGTTTAGAGGGGATCTAATCCAGGTCCAAAAACTGGGAAAGAAGAACAGAAACAAACATCTACCACATATGCATCTTGATAAATCCTAAATTTCTTAATGGTCATTATTGGAAAGTCTCCATAGGTAGAATATTGGGTTGTTAGTGTCAGCAAGTAATTATACACTTGCACAAATGATAAATAAAAGTTCTATATTGTGTGACTAAAAAAGAAGTAATATTCTTGACGAGAGGTCAAATTTAGACTGTAATGTAGCTGACCTACAGATCTCAGAAAGGAAAAATTGATTAAGAGCTATATAGGCTTGCTTTGACCACAACTATTTTAGAAAGAGGGGGAAAAGAAGGCAGATTACTGATACAATAAAACAGCCTGTCAATTAAATACCAGGATTTATATTTCAAGACCATAAAATTTGTTCCTACTGCCCAATACCCATCAGTTTCTAATGCAGAACTAAATTCCTCCATTATCTAGGATTTCACAAGAAACACCCATAATGGATTATATCTTGGTTGATGGAGAAGTAAAGCTCACCTAAGGGTGGATCTGAAAGGGATCCTAAAAACAACTTTTCTTTGCTGATATAAACTTAGAGATATAAACTTGTCCCAGACAACTAATAAATGGCAAAATTGGGATTCAAATCCAGTTGCCTAACAGTTTTATTATTACTTAATTTCCTGAAACTAAAGACTGAGTGTGTGTATGTGTGTTTTGTTCTGAACTGTAGGTAGTTGCCTTTCTAGAATACTGCAGGAGTTTTTATAGTTGAGATGAAAAACATTTAAATATGAGTTAAAAAGTAAATATAAATGTCAGGAACAGAGTCTTGTACAGATCAACTTCTCCACTGGGTATCTGTAAAATGATCACATCCATGTTGTACCTACATTCACAGAAAACTTTCAAACTAAAGTTTTGTGCAAATAATCTTAGCACAGACCATTTTATATTAATTCTAGGGGCCCATTGCAGGATGGGCTGCGGCCAACCTCACCCGCAGCCAACCTCATCTGCCTCCCACCCCGCCCATGCTTTCCCTCTGACAGCTGCCTTGCTTTACTCTTCCCCCCCTCTTCCTTCTATGCTGTCTTCAGTCTTCACTCCTCCTTTCCTCAGCATATGCAAATTAACCACCATCTTTGTTGGGTTAATTTGCATATTTGCTCTGATTGGCTGGGTGTGTAACAAAGATATAGTCAATTAGCATTTTTCTCTTTTATTAATGTAGACTAGTAGCCCTGTGCACAAATCCATGCCCCAGTAGGTTCCTGCTACCCACACATAGCTTGCTTGCTGCCCTGCCCTGTCCTGTAGCTTTCTGCTGCCCATTTGTAGTTTGATGTCCCACCCTCTTGCAGATCTAGGATCAGTTCTTTATGGCTTTGGTCGTAGGCCTCAAGGCTTAACGGGTAATTAGGATATTCCTCTTTTATTGTATAGGACTATTATATAGGATGCGAATTATTGCTATCTTAAACTAAGACAGTATATTTTGAAAGATAAGGATTTATAGCTCTAAAACAAAAATAAAGCTAACTTGTGTAATTCCATTTAATTTCTTTTCATTCAGGTTAATTTTTCAAATACAAAATTTTTTCTAGATGAGGAGTTCAAATTATGACTACATAGTAAGGAAATAAATAATCATAATCACATGCTAGCTTTATAAATTAAGCATTTTAGTTTTCTTCTAATGTTCTTTTTCCAAACATATATCATAATAGATTAACTCTTATTTGGTAAATAATTGTTATACTTCCTAACAGGATCTATACTGTTTTAACTTGGACTTAATGTATATAGCGATTCCCAAACAGCAGGACACAGTAATTAAATAATAATGCAAAATAAATGGCTGGATCAAATTACTTCACCACATTAAGCTTTCTACAGAAGAATATTCAGTCACTTAAAGCTGCTGTGCAATAAAACTAATCAGGGCCATAATAAACCAATTAGACATGTGATGAAATCTGGAGGTATTTATACAATGTTTGACCAGCCACTTAAAGATTTGTCACTGTCTTTTTTAAAAAAAATACATTTTATTTAAAAAAAACTTTTCTTTATGATTTAGAAGTCACTATAAAAATTTGTACAAACAATATTTACCTCATCATCATCAGGCACTGGTTCATTTAAGGATGGTATCCAAGCAAGTATATTGCAGTCTCTGCTACCACTGTAAAGTTCCTATAACACAGAAAGCAAATATGTGAGAGTTAATTAACTTAAAGCTGGTACTAATTTGAAACACTTTCATCACTTATATTTAATATAGTACTGGAAGTCTTAGTTAAGCAATTACATGAGAAGAAAAAATAAAAGACATCCAAATTGGAAAAGAAGTAAAACTGTCAATATTTGCAGATGACATGATACTGTAGAGAATCCTAAAAATTCCACCAACTATAGGCCTGCTGCACAAAATTCATGCATGGGGTGGGGGAGAGGATCTCCTCAGCCCAGCCCGCACCCTCTCCAATCCAGGACCCTCAGGGGATGTCTGACTGCTGGGATAGGGCCTAAACTAGCAGTCAAACATCCCTCTCACAGTACTGGACCGCTGGCTCCTAACCGCTCACCTGCCTGCCCGAATCGCCCCTAACTGCCCCTCCCCCAGCCAGCCTGATCACCCCTAACTGCCTCTGCCTGCCAGCCTAATCGCCACCAACCCCCACCCCCCCCCCACACACACACACCCTGGTTGCCCACACAGTCTGCTGTTCAGTCGTTTGGTTGTCCCTCACTAATCCCCCTGCCAAGCTTTCCACCTTCCCTGGCTGGCCTAGGCCTCCACTCCAGGTTACAAAGTTTCAATTATAAAAGGTACATAAATTCCAACAGAAATGGCTGTGGCCACAGAGCGAGCAGGAGGCTTGGCTCCGCTCCAGGCTACAAAGTTTCAATTATAGAAGATAAATATATCCCAGATACCAGGGGCTCTTTTTGGGTCGCCAGGGGGTATGGTGGCCTGTAAACCACCAGAGGCCCCTCGCCTAAGCTGCCCCATGCCCCAAGGGAACCCCCACCCTGATCCGGGACACCATGCAGGGCAAACCAGCTGGCCCTCACCCATGCACCAGGCCTCTATTCTATCTAATGAAAGAGTAATATGCAGATTGACTATCACTCCAACACACAAGATCAAGATAGGTGCCCCCATGTAGACACAAGATGGCCACCACAGATGGCCAGCAGGGAAGGGCAGTTGGGAGGGACCAGGCCTGCAAGGGAGAGCAGTTGGGGGCGATTAAGCCTGTAGGATAGAGCAGTTAGGGGTGACCAGGCCAGCAGAGGGAAGTTGGAGGTAAACAGGCTGGCAGGGGAGCAGTTAGACATTAATCAGGCTGGCATGGGAGTGGTTAGGGGGGTGATTAGGCTGGCAGCAGAAGCAGTTAGGGGCAATCAGGAAGGCAGGCAGGTGAGCAGTTGGGAGCCAGCAGTCCTGGATGGTAAGAGGGATCCCAGATTGGAAAGGATGCAGACTGGGCTGAGGGGAACCCCAGCACCCCCCCACCACACCCCCACACAAATTTTGTGCACTGGGCCTCTAGTAAGGAATAAACAAAATTTTACATAGCTCATACATACTTAAATCAAGATACACAAACTGTATTTTGAGATTAGACACATATATTCTATTTTTCCAAAAAGATTGTTTGCAAGAATTTATTTTAATTTGCCCAAAGTTTTCTAATGGAGCTCATATGCAAAAAAAAAGTTTATCTCAATGAAGCTGTTGAGTATTATAGATTGATTCATATATACATTCTATACCATCTAAAAATATATTCTATATTAGCCTTTATTAATGAACCCAAACTCAAATGTGAATTAAAAATATAATTCCTCATACTTAAGTTATAACTTATTCTGATACACACACACACACACACACACACACACACACACACATATATATATATATACATACACACACAACTAGTCTGGCAAACTACCTACCTAAATATTTTAAATTCCCATTGGTATCATTCTTACCTGGAAATTAGACTGAAATACACAGCAGTCAACACTTTTATAATGTCCCTTAAGCATAGTTATCTGTTCTCCTGAGTAAATTGTATAAACAGCAATGGTGCTACCATATGGTACAAAAACAAATTCTGAACTGCAGCCACAGGAGACAGCGAATTTCAATCCTTTTCTACTGTCATTATAAACTTTTCCGTAATTCACCTGCAGGATATAAAAATCAAGAATTTACTTCTTAAATCTGAATTCAAAAGATAAAGACTAGAAGTATTTACTGAAATATTAGACTATATTATAAAAGGGTTTTTATATATCTAAAGGAAATGACCAATGCCCTAATATAAATAAGTGCCAATCACATAAATATACATTTCAAAGGAGGAAATACAAATAGTAAAAAATTCCACACACAAAAAAATGTTCAGATTTCAACCTTGATAGAAATAAAAAAGCAATTAAGGCATCCTTAAAGAATAATTCTCACTCTAGCTGGTTTTGCTCAGTGGATAGAGCATCAGTTTGTGGACTGAAGGTTTCTGGGTTTGATTCTGGTCAAGGGCATGTATCTTGGTTGTAGGCTCCCAGCCCTGGTCAGGAGCATGCGGGAGGCAACCAATCGATTTGTCTCTCTCATGTTGGTGTTTCTCTCTGTCTCTCCCTCTCCCTTCCCCTCTCTCTAAAAATCAATGTGAAAAAAATATCCTTGTGTGAGGATTAAAAAAAAAGAATAAGAATTCTCAACAATTTAGCAAACATTTTAAGAAAACAAAAAATACTCAATATGGGTATAAGGGAAATAAACATGGAGGCCCTTAATTTGGTCATTTCCTCTAAAGGCCAAATGGTTGCATATGCAACAAAAATACAAAGATACTGTACTTGGTGGGAAATAACCTTTTATTTTAAAACATTTTAAATTATGGTAAAATATACATAAAATTTGCCATTTTAATCCCATTTAAGTGTGCAGTTCATTGACATTAAGCACATTAACAATTGTTCAACCATCATCACCATCAGTGTTCACAAATTTTTTCATCTTTATTTTTTTAAAAAATTTTTTTATTGATTTTTTACAGATGAAGAAAGAATGAGATAGAGAGTTAGAAACATTGATGAGAGAGAGACATCGATCAACTGCCTCTTGCACAACCCCTACTGGGGATGTGCCCGCAACCAAGGTACATGCCCTTGATCGGAATTGAACCTGGGACCCTTCAGTCCGCAGGCCGACGCTCTATCCACTGAGCCAAACCGATTTCGGCTCATCTTAAAAAACTGAAACTCTACACCCATTAAACAACAATGATATTCTTATTACATGACCTAGTAACTACTAGGAATTTATCTTAGGAAAATAATTTAACAGCAGAAAGCTCTATGTCAAGAGGAATTCAATGCATTAATTCAAATAGCAAAATAACTGAGATTATATGTAAACTTCTAGTAATGTTACATTAATTCTGTAGTTTACATAGAAATTAAAAAGGATAATTACGAAAATTATGCAGAAAATAGAAATTCATAATTCTCGGCCCTATCCTTTATTTTAACAAGATCCCTATGTGATTTGCCACAGCATAGATGGACCCAGAGGATATTATGCTAAGAGAAATAAGTCAGAGAAAGACAAATACCATGTGATTTTATCTAAAGAACAATATGAATAGATAAATAGAAAGGATATATGCACCCCCATGTTCATAGCACCACAATTTACAATAGCTAAGATTTGGAAAGAGCCTAAGTGCCCATCAGCAAATGAGTGGATTAGAAAACTGTGGTACATCTACACAATGGAATACTACCCTGATATAAAAAAGAAGGAATTCTTACCATTTGCAACAGCATGGATGGAATTGGAGAGCATTATGCTAAGCGAAATAAGCCAGTCAGAGAAAGAAAAATACCACATGATCTCACTCATTTGTGGAATATAATGAACAACATAAACTGATGAAAACCAATAGAACCACTCATAGAGGCATCAAACAAACTGTCCAACCTATGAGGGAAGGCAATGGGTGAGGGGGTAAGAGATCAACCAAAGGACTTGTATGCATGCATATAAGCATAAACAATGGGGGGGGGGCTGCAGGTGTGGGGGTGAGGGTATGTGCTGGGGGTTGGGGACAGCTGGGGAGAGGCCAATGCAGGGAAAAGGAGACTTATCTAGTATGTAATACATTAAACAATAAAGGAAAAAAAGCTAATTCAGAGTTAAGAAATAGAGTTAGACAAGAAACGGAGTTAAATCTATACGAAAAAAAGTCAAATCGTGTATGACACATCCATTTCTTTAATTTATATTCAAAAGGTTTTTAATATAAAAATCTTAATTTATATTCAAAAGGTTTTTAAAATTTCTTACTAGTGTGTTTTCTCCGTTGGAACTATTCCAGAGCCTCATTCGATTATCAGTACCAATAGTCAGCAGGTGAAGGCCATCGCTTGTAAAACATAAGCCATTAACTTTCCCATTATGAGCAGTGTTTGCTGCAATGAAAAATACAACCCAGTTTATCTGTTCTTGCATTCAGTACATATTTAATGCCTGATGATCTATTTATTTAAACACATTAAAGGACAACTATCTGAATTAGTTAAAATATATAAGTTGGTGATATTTAACATTCATCAACCTTTTGATTATTTGAATATGATAATCTATATAAATTAGAACCATTAAACTGAGGAAAACTAAAAAGTCAAAGGAAAAAAAATCTTGCCAAATATATTTGTCTTCAAAGAGTAAGCTTTGTGCCTAGCTGCTGTGGCTTCATGGTTGAGTGTTAACCTATGAACCAGAAGGTCATGGTTGTGGATGTGCCCAGGTTATAGGCTCAGTCCCTAGTAGGGGTCGTGAAGGAAGCAGCTGATCAATGATTCTCTCTCATCATAGATGTTTCTTTCTCTCTCTCCTCTTTTCCTCTCTAAAATTAAAAAAAACAAAAAAAACAACATACAAAAAGTATTTAAGCTGTATTATAAAACTCAAATACATAATTTAACACAAAAAATTTAAACACATTTCAAAATTCTTATATACTATTTCCATTTTTGGTCTAAAAATCATCCCAAGGACTATTAAAAATTATTAAAAGTAGTATTTCCTATTTTAAAAAAGTTATCAGAAGATAATGTTCTCGTCTCACAATCAAAATTCCTATTACTTTCAAAGTAAACAACTTGGAGAAAGCATAATTCTCAATAGCCTGATTAAGTAAAAAGATTATTAAAACAATTAAGATTTTATATAGTTCATCCTAATTATTTCTGATCCAGAATTAATTCTGAATCAGAATTTTAACCTACACAAAAATGAAATTCTATTGTAAAAATGCAATTGAGGTACTTTATCACCTGGATTACAGCTGACACATTTAACACAACTTTCAAATTTTATTCTGACATAATGGCCACTGTTATTACTTCTTTAATTTAATTAAAACTTCCTAAGTGGCACTGAATTTGTATTAGTATAATTAGAAAGGAAAAAAAGTAACATTAATCCAGAAAAGTTTCTACACTTGAAAATTCAGGGACAGAAGAAATGCCATATTAACTTGTATTTTGAAGAAAGACAACAATAATTTATTTTAATTAAGAAATTGACTTAATATGAATGCCTTTTAAAAAAAAATCACAAAATTTGCCATTTGTCGATATATATTTAGTATTGGTTTTATTCAAAATTTTCAATATAAGAATGCTATCATTATCGTATTTCATACTTAGTGCATTCCCCATTACCTGATTCAACAGCTTGTGACTTTTCCCCATTATGCTGATCAAGGGTAATCAAACATCCTGATGCTTTCCTCACATCCCATAATTTTACTCTACTGTCAGCACTGAGAAGAGATAAATGTTACAGTGATATATATAACTAGAACAGTGACTGTACTCTTCACTTACATTTTCAGTATTATGGCGTATTTCTACATTTGGGTTATTGTACTTTTGTCTTCTAAGCAAACTTTCAATAGTCAATAGGATCACAAAGAAGTAAAAAATAAGAGAAAAAATATGTTTTTTTAAGATCACAAGGATAGAATTCTGCTACTTTTCATTTTTTTATTAGTTTTTATTTTCTTTATTTTTTTAATAACAGGAACATCTTTCTCAAGAAGTAGGTAGGCTTAGAGCTTGTTGCTTAAGCAAGTTTGTCACTACAGCCTTACTATGGTTTTATTATTCAAAATGTTGTCTAGATAATCAAGCAGTTAACTAATTTCAATTTGCTTAAGAATTCATTTAGCATGGATTTGGTGGGCTTTTAATTTAATTAATTAATTTTAAATATATTTTTATTGATTTCTGAGAGGAAGGGAAAGAATCATTGATCAGCTGCCTCCTGCAGCCCCCCTAAACGGAGATCGTGCTCGCAACCCAGGCATGTGCCCCTGAACAGAACTGAACCCAGGACTCTTCAGTCTGCAGGCTGACACTCTATCCACTGAGCCAAAGCAGCTAGGGCTGAGCTTTTAATTTTATATGATAAAAATAACAACAAAATTAATAAGAAGAGCAAAATATTTTTATTTGGTTTCCTATATTCAAATCAATCCTTGCCCAATATACAATAACTAAATTTAATGTCTTCTAGAAATTAGATATTTATTTTTCATTTTATTTCAAGGAAAAGAAAGGCAAAACCATGGTTTATTAATTTTAGTTTTTATTTATTTAGTTTTTTCTCATTAATTTCAGCTTTTAAACTACCCCTAAAGAAAATATTTATTACCCCAGGCAAAGGGTCTTGGGTTTCATTTCTGGTCAAGGGCATGTACCTTGGTTGCAAGTTTCCCATTCCAAGAAGGGGCGTGGGGGAGGCAACCAATCGATATGTTCATCTCACATCAATATTTCTTTCTCTTCCTCTTCCCGTCTTCCCTCCCTTCCACTATCTCTAAAAATCAATGGAAAAAATATCCTCCAGTGAGGATTAAAATTATTTATATATATATATAAAATCAGTTCAACACCTACTTTCAGTCCTCACAAAGATTCAACAATATTCCACTGGGTTTATCCAGGCCATTTTAATTAGAAAGACCATTGCTTTGCATTTTATAAATCTGTGACTCATTTCACAGATCACTATCAAACCTAGCCAATCAGAAGTCAGCAAAAACCTAGGTTTCCATTCTCAAGTTGGTTTTATTTCTTTCCAGCTGGAGAAAACATTTGCAATGAGAGAGTGTGAGGATTTAAGTCTCTTCAAAAAAACATATTAGCTTTAGAGATATCTGACATGGATTACTAAATCCATTCTAGTACTGATTCAAATTCCGAGGGTACTCTGAGAACTGATCACCTATTAGCCTCCCTGTTATTTGAGGAAAAGCTAGCATGTACCCACAAAAAGCACCTAGCTCCTCACCTTCACACCTCTTTAGTCACCTTCTTAAGAATTCAACTTCAGAAATTGTAAATTTCAACATCACATCTGCAAACCAGTAACGAATAGTCTTTTGGGACTAATCTGTGGCAGAGAGGGAGGGCTAGCAGCTTTATAAAAATCCAGGCACATATTTTTATAAAAATTATATGAATAGCTTTTGTAATAATTCTTCTGCAAACATTTATTAAAATGTCTATATCAAAATCTTTGACTAATATTTCCTATACCTTCAGTTTTTTTATTTTCTTACTCTGATACACATACTTCTTCTATCTCATTATGTCTTTGATTCACTCCAATAAGCTTTTCTGTGATTTTATTTCCTTCCTTATACCCATGACTTTCACATTTTTTCACACAATTGTTAAGTCTGTGTCACTTAATATTTTGATTTCTGTGGCTTAGAAGATCTGTGGTCTAAACATTCAACTAAGCACACAACACTGCCCACCCTGCATTCTTATGTGGCCCGTACCAGACTGCCAGCCCAATTGTTAAAATTGTTAATCTAAATCTTAAAATTGCATCCCCATTCTGGTATTTTCAATGGATGACGTGAAGTTCTATTCCACTAAAAAAAAATAGGCCACTATGCTTGCTTTCTTGAGCTCTCTGCAAACTCATATATTTAACTGTATTCCTCCTTCTATTTAGTCTCACAGTGCCCTTCATGTGTCAAAATAAGTGTCCTCCTTCTACCTGGACCCTTGATACAGCCCCCTTAAATATCTGTTTAAGGTCTTGATGTAACAACTTTCCCTCCATTTCTTATCTTCACCAATTCCCCTCTACTGGTACTATCTCTCACAATTTAAATACATTAGACTATTCCCTCCAACAAACAAACCCCCCAAATGCTTTGGTCCACTCGAGTTAAGTGCTTCTGCTATCTTTTCCCATATTACACCTCTCAGAGACTTAATTTTATGAAAGCATTTTTCAGGCTGTAATATAATTGCTGATTTTTCTGTTAGCTTCTTGAGGGGAATATACCTTAGTTAACTCTATATCCCTTACAGAATGCTTGGCACATGGTAGGCAGTCTTTAAATATTATTAAATTGAATCAATGAATGGATGGATGTATTGAATCAGAGTCAAAATAAATCTGCATTAAAAAATGAATAAAAATGCTATTTTTAAATTAACAGTGCTAATACTTTTATATGCAAAAATGACACAACACAGTTGTTTTTCTATTTTTCCAGCAGTACTAGATTTGCACTGCTACACTGATTCTCTTATTTTTTCTTATTTTAAAAGGTGAGCACCTTCAAAATGGTTAGACAAGATTAGAGCTTTTATGCAAAGAAAAATTTTTTCGGTGATACGAATTAAAATCTGTGACTAAATAATTTTATTTTTAAGGACCTAATAATTAAACACACATCTTACATAGTCTTCTAGAAATGCTTTTTATTAATTATTAACTTCAAAACCAAATAATTTACAAATTTACCTTGCAGTTGCCAAGATATAATCATAACGTGGTGACCAGGAAACTGCCAAAATTTCTTGTCTGTGACCTGCAAATACAAACTGTATGAGAAGTCTTACAAAGTATTTAAAAATCAAGATACAGTGCAATTAATTTTGGTTCTGAAGAAAGTGAAGACTAAGTATTAAAGGTAAATTGATATAATCATTTTTTCACTTTTTAAATAATGGTTTAAGTATAGGGTGCTCCAAAATATGTATACATACACTTTGAGTAATTATGAAGGCGGCATTAAAATATATTTCATTTTCAAAATTGAGCTATAAGCTGTTGTAGTGTATAGATATTTGTGAGGGGACATCCTGTATTAATGGGAAGTCTAAGGGGCATTTCTTACATATGGTATTCTATATAATAAAGAGGTAACTTGCAAATGGTCGTCACGCCATGACGCATAACAGCCAGCAGAGGGCTACAGGAGGGCAGGGCAGTGAGCTACCTGTGGCAGAGAGCTACAGGAGGGCGGGGCAGCCAGCTGAGGCACACAGCAGAAAGCTACTGCATAGGGCTACTAGTTTTAATATAAAAGGCCTGATTTTGCTTTGAAAAATAGGCAGAGCAAGTGAGTCTTTCTTTTTAAATACAGGTCTTGGCCTAACAACTCAATCCATCATTGGTGATACAGCTCAAGCTCATTTACTTATCTCTATAGGAAAAGCCACTAAACTAACCAAAGATAAACATTCTAAACAATAAAAATATTTTCTAACTTTTTAGGAAGATATAAGACAGGAAAGTAACTTTTAATTCATGATTATAAAAAGACATTTGTATAAAAGTTTTATCCAGAAAGCAAAAGTGGTAAAGTTCATAAGATAAGTGATTTCAGCATTTTAATGCATTTTTATCTAACTGAATTATTCAAATCAGTTATTTTAATCTACTTAGCTTATATTAAAAAGAAACTAATAATATAAAACAAATGTTATCTATTTCACCAAGTTTTTCTTACATATTTATGTTTCTCAGAGATGAATAAAGATGTATATTTCTGAATTATACCCCATATTTTCATTGTTTAAAATTAAATTATATAATGCTGATTTTTAAAAGTAGCAAAAATAATTTCATATACCTGTACCAAAGTATTATGTCAATATCTTTTTCTAACATATTTTTATTGAGGAATTAAAAAAGCACCTAAATTTTAAGAATCTTTACTCAGCCAGAACAATATTAGACTATGTTCATGAGACAAATGTACTCATGTAAGTTTCACAAGTAGTTTATTTTTCCACAGGTAGAAATAGCACAAGGTTTTGAATTAGACCTTCCATAACCTTTGAGCTCCCCTATGGCCATTGTTCATATAAATGTCTCTTCAATAGTTCAGTTTTATAAGAATAATGTACAGAAGGATCTTTATTTCCCTGCAGACTTTTAACAACTAGCACAAAATTCATCAGTCATGTCACTTACAAAGCATACATTGTTAGTAATGTTTCTTTTTATTGAATGGTTTACTCAGAGTAGTAGTTGTTACAAACAAAAAATACCCTGTAGAATGTGGCAACAGGATCCAGACTTTAAGTCACAAAGTTGTACTTTGGGCGCTCTAGTACCAACTGTAAAACAAAAGCAGAAATGGTTTAAAATAATTTTATTATAAATCATCATCAAAAAGAAATAAGAAACTACTATTATGAATTAATGTCATTTTCACTACATCCATACAGAAATATGAAAATGTATATTAAAATATATTTCAAATAATTTTAATGTCTATAATTAGAAAACTTATTTTAATGGTAGTTATATTTTAGTACTAAGACAATTTTATTATTGCATTATTATTTAACATTTAATATAGAAATAATTGTTTTTGTTCACAAGAAGTTGCAAAGATATTATAGTACAGAGAGGCCCTTGTGTACCCTTCAATCAGGTTCCTCCAATGGTTATATTTCAGGTAACTATAGTACAATATCAAATCTAGAAAATATGTATTGGTATCATGTGGTATATAATTCTATATTATTTTATCACCTCAAATTGTATTAAAAGTTCAGTTTTTCTGTGATAATGAAATATTTCCAAACGCTAGCAATAGATTCCAGAAACTCTGGACTCAGATTGAGTGGACCTCAAACACAAATTAATGCCCAACTCTTCTCTTTAGACGAAGCAGCTAACTGATGTCCAGAGATTCGTGTAGTGCCAGAGAATAATTAAATCACAGGGAACTGATCCCTGATAACAGAAAAACATTTTTTTCTTCCACATACATGGAAATTGTTGTTGCAGGTACTTCCATAAAAATGAATGTTTAATTTGAATCACACAATTTTAGAGAAAAGGAAATAATTTCCTTATTTTATTAGGAAATAATTTCCTTATTTTATTGTGTTGAATTGGAAAAGCTGTCAAATTTTACTCATGTAAAATCTTTAAAACTTGGTGTTTTAAAAGAAATTCTTTGGGAACAGAAAGGGGTCCTCTTAATTAATCTTTGAATCCTACCCACTAGCAGTGCCTGACCTGCACAATATCTGTTAAACTGAATATAACTAGTAGCATACACCTGTCTTTGTGTGTGTGTGTGTGTGTGTGTGTGTGTGTGTGTTTTAAAGAATTGTAATCTCCATTTGAGTTAAAATGTCTATGTCAAAACTAACTAGAAATGAAAAGAGAGAAAGTTTTCAAAATGTTACAAAACAAGTGAGTAAATGTACAAACCTGCTACCAAGCAGTGCTGAGTGGCAACTGGAGACATATGATGACTATAAACTGTTTCTTCAAAATTAAAAATATCTGCAGCCTGATAATAAAAAAAACATTTTAAAAATGTATTCTAATTACAGTCAGAAAAGCAACAAATTCCTTATTTACTTATTTTCACATTGCTAGGAGTTTTTAAACCGACTTAATAATTTATTTGACATAAATATAGGAATGTTAATACCCTAAAAAACCTGATACTTTTAAATCCTGTTATTTGTAACACTTTTTTTCCTCTTACGTGAGAAACAGCTTTTCTCTCACAAATCCCAGAGATTAATATGAAAGACAGCCTGGCTCATCATCTTTCTCTCTTCCATCCTGGGGACGTCAGCATCTACACAGATGATCTAGCCAGCGCTCTGCTTCTCAGTTCCATGCAAGCATGGCTATCATACTCAGGACACTCATCACCTAGAACTGCTCCTCCTTTAAAACTATACATTTCAGCCTAGACAGTGTTGCTCAGTGGTTGAGCGTTGACCCATGAACTGAGAGGTCGCCAGTTTGACTCAAGGTCAGGGCACATGTCCAGGCTTCCGCTAGATCCCTGCTGCTTAGGGAAGTTGAACATCTTTCCATGTGTAAATCCCTAAGCAACAGGGAAATGCAAACCAAGACCACAATGAGGTGTCACCTCATACCTTTTAGGTAAACTATTATCAAAAACAAGAAGTAACAATGTTGGCAAGGATGTGGAGAAAAGAGAACCCTTGTACACTTTTAGTGCAGCCATTATGGAACAGTATGGAAGTTCCTCAAAAAGTTAAAAATAGATCAACCATATGATCTGGCAATTCTACTCCTGGATATTCATCTAAAGAAAAACAAAAACACTAATTTGAAAAGACATATGCACCCCATGTGCACTGCAGCTTTATTTAATAGACATATAGAAATATTATTCAGCCACAAGAAAGAAGGAAAATCTGACATTTGTGACAAGATGGATGGACCTTGAGCACGTTATGCTAAGTGAAATAAGTTAGAGCAAAAGAAATACCAGTTGATTTCTTTTATATGCGGAACCTAAGAAAGCCAAATCAACAGAAACAGAATAAAATAGTGTTTACCAGGGGTTAGGAAGTGGGAAAAATGGGAAGATGTTGGTCTTAGGGTATAAATTTCCAGTTGTAAAACAAGAGAAGTAAAAAGTTGCCTAGGGAAAAGGACTTGAGACAGAGAGTACAACACAGTCAAGATATGATCAGAAGGCAAAAGAAGATCAATTTAGTGGCAGCAAATCATTTATGGAAAAAGAGGTAGAAGCTAAGTTTGAGGGAGTGGGGTGAGCTTACGGAAAATTTAGAATGTCAGGCTGAATTTAAACAATGGGAGACAGTAGTGGGTTTGGGTGAAGACTGGATGACTGTTTTATAATAAGATTAATTCTGGGGTAGAACTTACCATAGAAAATGTGGAAAGAAAATTGCAGGGAAACCATTTAGCAGTTTTTAGTAGTAGTCTAGATATTATAGTGATGGTAAGGGAAAGAGAAATATGAGAATTAGAAGGAAGATTGCTAAGATTTGAGGACTAAATGGATGTGAGAAGTGATCAGCATGTAACATGTTAAATTTGAGCAGAGGTTCTATAGAGAGGTAGAGAAATTTGGACTAGAGCTCAGGGAAAAGATTAACACTAGAAATATAAATTTGACCAAATATCATAAAAACTATTATCTACTGTTGGACATTTACTAAACTATAATATTAACAACTTTCTTTTCCTTTACGTTTTTAGGTCAATAAGAGATAAGTCCAATTTCCTTCTTTATACCACAAGACCACAGTAGTTTTAAATAATAAAGATAATAGCTAATGGCTTTTAACCACTTAATATATGTTAGGCACTGATTCAGTTTCTTTACAATATTGACCTATTTAAACTTAATAACCATTCTATAAGTAACAATCATTGTCCACATTAACAGATGAGAAAATGCAACACAAATAGATTCAGATACTTGCCCAATGTTATATGTCTAGTCACCAAGATATGACCTCAAGTAACCTAACTTTCCTTAACCATTATAGTGCTTTCACATCTATTACATGACATCTTAGCAAATAATCACACCAAAAAGGTTTAGAATTAAATTCCTCATCATCCTACAGATCCATTTGGAAAGATTTTAATTTACTTACTTGTAATGTGTTTGTATCCCATACTTTCAGAGTTTTATCAAATGAGCTGGATGTGAACATGCCAGTGTCATGAGGATACCACTGTACAGTCTCCACACTATATTTGTGAACATCAGGATGGTATCTACAAAACAGCAACCAAAATTTAGAGATAACTGACTTATGTGAGTTTCAACTGATACTACATTAACAAATAGTAGTCTTAGGAAGGATGATATGAATGGCCAAATCTAGGTCACATGACTGTGTCCTAGCTGTCCAGGGAAAGAGTATGTTCAGACATCTCTAGTTTTAGGCTTCCCTAATGTGATATGGAGCCTGCTACCTACTAAAACTCTTAAAATGAGAGGCTTCCTATTTCAGTACTGTAGCCTGGAGGGATCAGCCAGTTACACTGGACCTGTTCATAGAGGGGACGTGATTTTTCCTTATTGAAAGAGATACTTATTCTAGTTTTGGATTTGCTCTTCCCAATATCATTTTATCAGCACTATCATTCTTAGATTGTTGAATTCCTCACATACTTCCAGCATATCCACACAATATTATTTCTGATCAAGGAACTTACTCTATGGAAAAAAATGCAACTGTGATGCCCATGGGATTCACCACTCTTATATAACCCATCACCCATAGAAGCATGGTCAGGTGATGACTCAGTTATGGTTTCAGCTACAATACATCTTGTGAGGGTAAAGTATAGTCCTAAAAGGTACAGTATATGCTCTGAGTGAGTGCTCAATACAGTATACGAGTCACTTTACTGAATCTTAATTTAAAAAAACTGGGTGTTAAGAAACACAAGATAATGCAGGGACATAAGTCTTTATCTTCTAGAGATATAAATAATTATGAATAAAATTATATGACTCGATTTGCTTCAAAACAGTTCTCAGAGTGTGTGGGTGGAGATGAAATAATTAGTTATAATTGACTAGAGGCCTGGTGCACAAAATTCATCTACTTGGGTGGGGGCGCCCTCAAGCCTGGCCTGTGCCCTCTTGCAGTCCTGGAGCCCTCAGGGGATATCCAACTGCTGGCTTAGACCCGTTCCCTGCAGTCAGACATCCTTAGTGCTGCAGCGGAAGCGAGAGCAGCTCCCGCTACTGCTGCTGTGCTTGCCAGCCGTGAGCTCCCCCTGTGGGAGCACACTAATCACCAGGGGCAGCTGCCCTCTAGTGGTCAGTGTGCGAACAGTTGTTCCACTGTTTGGTCTATTTACAAATTAGCCTTTTATTAAATAGGATAGTTGTTAAGCTGGGCGATGGGTATGCAGCTCATTATATTACTCTCTACTTTTGTATATGTTAGAAATATTCCATAAGATAAAAGTTAACCGAAGATGAATGCAACTGTGTGAAGAAAGGACGAGCATGCGTTCTGATTCCTTAAGGTGAAGGTTTGGATCACAATACCAGCTTAAGGACCTTGAACATTTGTGCTGCTACCTGAAGAATGAGAACATGAAGAAAGTCAGTCTCAAGTGCCAGTTCTGGCCTTGAGACAGCTACAAAAATAAAAGGGATATAGTGCCTATCCATATTTTCTTTATTTCTATGTCATATGTAGATATATTTATATATGCTTTAATTAATTTAATTTCCCTTCTTTCCTTTCTCTTAACTCCATTAATTCATAGAGGTTAACTATACAATTGAGCCCAGAGGTTGCATAATATTGATACAAGATCATGTAAAACAAGTATTGAAAAATGGACATTATCTTGAACTGGAGTTGGATGTGTTAACTAACTAGACTTAGGTCATCACCCTTTTGGGGAAGAGGATGATACATTTTGGTCATATAATGAATACGTGCATTAGGTTAGTTTGGAACTTTTTGTCGCCCTCTCCCAACTCCCCCCCCCCCCCAAAAAAAAAAGAGAGGGTAACAATGGGAAGAAAGATGTATATGGATATTAAACAGCCAAATGGGTAGATTGTAATGGGCACGTGCTCTTTTCTTGGCTGCTGAGTATGAGTATGCAAACTCCACCTGTTTGGGGGAAATCTCCTTTGTTTTATTGAATGGCAGGACCCTGCCTCTTATTACTGAAAGCAAGGGGCTCCATTCTCGTTTCCTTCCCCTTGGTAGCAGGGGCATGGGCATGTGTCTCGAACTTCATCAATCCTGCCTGGAACTCTAAAACTCTAGCCAGTAATAAACAAATCCCAAGAATAGTCGGCAATTTTTCATAGCTGTGGAGTTTAGACTCTGCGTTGGTGACATGTAGCAGAAACTAAATTGTTCCTGTGGAATAGCCTTGATAGTGTTCCCTATCCTAGTTTCTCCTGCTTTTGCTCATTTTCTACATTTAATTCTCCCAACTTCCTGCCAAGTATGTAAGAAACTAATTATCTTTCCAATAACTTTCTTTTTTAACCAATATCCCAATAAATTTCTGCTTAAAATAAGAAGAATTAAGTTCTATTTACTTCTAAGAATCTTGATCTACAAGGAGATATTCTAGTTTTAAACAAATCAAATCTTTAATGTGGTGATCACAAACACTCATTTATATTTTAAGTAGAAAATGTTTTTAATTTAAAATAGGACAAAATATTCTATTATTCCCTTACTATGTATAATCTGTTATTCTCATTCACATTAATAAGAATTTTCGTAGAGAAAAAAGGCCTTTTTGTTGCCCAAGAACAAATACATTAAGTATAGCCCAAATAAACATCAGGAAACCATCTAAGCCACATTAACTCAACAACAATTTTTACTGAAATTATTTTTTAAAGTTCGTTTATAAAGTCTTTGAATATAAATATGCTAATTTAAATCATTTTGTAAAGATGCTCACTATAAGCCTATATTATATTTTAAAAGACAGTGAACTCAAAAGTAAAGCAAAAGGCTGATACACTAAGCATTTACCTGACTTTACACACCAGGAAATATTATTTTGCTATAACAAATTAAACAATGTTAAATGTTATCTAAGATAAAACAAGATAAAAATGAATTTAATTAATATAACTTTCCTACACTTAAGAATTTAGATTTTTTTTTTTTTTGGTAGTGAAGACTAAAAAATGATATGTTTTATAAGAAACCACATTTCAGAGTATTTAGGTGGTAGCTTGCTTTGTACTAAGTTTCCCTATAACTATATATTACTTTACATTCACACAGTGGCTTTATAGTTTCCAGTGTGCTTTTTGAAAGATAGTATTTCACTTAAATAACATTTCATTTCTCACAGATACCTTGTAAGAACAATCTAAGACACGGAGAAATATTTCATAAGTCTATATTTCCCAAAATGAAGCACCAGAGTCAAGAAACAATGATCAATCTCTTAAACATTTCATGGACTCACACACCTCTTCAAACACCTTGGGAACAAATTTAATACAGAATGGTTGTTATTATATATTAATGTTCATGACTTTTTCTCCTTAAAAGCATTCCTTCTGTAAATTTAAAGGTCTTTTCATCATCAGATCAGAAATAGGTGACAAGAAGTGACCATTATGAACAAATAAAACATTTTATTAAAACCACAAAACATTTTGGAAAAGCCTTAAAAATAATTCTCACAAGACTGAAAAGACAGTAAAGAATAGTCAGAAAATTCAAGACAAAGAGAGGTATGTTTTTACTAGTAAGTTAGGAAGTTTTAAATAAGTAGAGAGATAAGAGGGTTGTGTGCACATGTGCATGTCTGTCGGGTGAGGGACTGCCAGTATATTCATTGCTTCTAGCCATTAATCTTTTTGTTCTATTAATATCAACTAAAAAAAATCTAATTTGTGTTTATAATTAGCTGAAAGACTCATAAATGACTCTTACTCTAAGTGGTAGTAAAAGCTAATAGCTCGCTGAGGCGTGCTACGTAAGTAGAGAATAAAAAGCACATAATCGAAGTTTTTAAATAAAATCCTTTTGAGAAATGATATTTTGAAAAGTCTCATTAAAAAAATCTATAATACATCTGAACTTGCTATTATTTTTTTAAGAAAATGTCAAGGAATACCCAAGTAAATACATCATGTGAACAAGTTGATTGAGACATTCAATCATATGACTATTTTCATAGTTTGCATTTGATGCAAAAAAAACACTCAACTTTTTATAAATTAATGAATTCATTTTTAATACACACCTGTCAACAGAACACACTGCTTTACATGTGTAACAAGGTTGTCTGCTGGAGTTCTCAAGATCATAAAGTACAATCACACCATCTGAACCACCTGATAACATGCTAATAATAAAAAAGTTAACATCATTTTATGTATTTCAATTATTTATGTTTATGTATTTTTGAAAATTACTGATCTTTAAAAACCCACATATTTTATGCCCACAAATATCATGCCCACAAATATCAAGTAAAAATTAATCAAGACTTCAATAAACTAAATTTTCTTAATCTATTATTTACAGAATGAATATGAAAAGATTCACTGTGATCATTTAAAATTTACTTTTATGATACCAAAAAAGGACAGTAGAAACACGATACTTAAAGAAAGGACAGTAGAAAGTAATATATTACAAAGTAATTTTAAATGTCCTAATTATAATTGTGCTAAATAGAAGTGGAATCAGATAGGCTAGCTGATTATTACTGATGCCAGCTAGCTATATGATCCTGGGCAAGTTACTTTACCTGTTTCAGACTTCAAACATTTTAGAAAAGGGAGACAGTTTCACCTAAATCATAAAGCTGATATAAATATAAAAGTAATATGCAAAGTGCCTTATATATTGCCTGGAAAAAAATAGTGATCAATAAATATTAGATTCTTTCCATTATGAACATTTTTACTGAATTCATTCAACTTTGAGACCTGTAATATGCTAGACACTCTGCTAATACAACTGTGAACAAGGTAGGTATGATCCCTGTCTTCGCAGAGTTTAAAATCTAATAGGGAAGAGATACAGATCTATGAAGTTATAGATCTACATAAAGTATTGCTATTTGCTAATATTATTGTTCACTATCAATCCTCATGTTGCTGACTATTCATTCTGGTTCTCTGATTTTATTCTCTGGTAGATTCCCAAGAACCATATTCCCTGAATTCTTGCATGTTATTGACAATTTGTCCTTAAAGATCTGACTGGATATAAAATCTTTGACTCATTTTATTTCCTGAATACCTTAGATAAGAAACTTCATTTCTTTGGACAAATCCAAAATATGTAAATATTTGCTAGCCCAGTGCACAACATTCATTTACTGGGGGAAGGGAGGAGTCCCTCAGTCTGGCCTGCATCCTCTCATAGTCTGGGACCCTTCAGGGGATGTCTGACTGCTGGCTTAGCCCTGGGCTTCCCTGACTGCTGGGTATGTTAGAGCAGGCCTAAGCCAGCAGCCGGACATTCCCCAAGGGATCCTTGGCACTGCTGTGGAGACGGGAGAGGCTCCCACCACTTTTGCTGCACTTGCAAGCCATGAGCCCAGCTTTTAACTGAGTTGTGCTCCCCCTATGGGAGCGCACTGACCACCAGGGGGCAGCTCCTGCATTGAACATCTGCCTCATGGTGGTCAGTGCACGTCATAGTGACAGGTAGTTCCACCATTAGGTTGATTAGCATATTAGGATTTTATTATATAGGATTTCTCCTTAGTTTCAACTTCACCTAAGGCATTATATCTTATATGTATTTGCTTGTGTTCCCTATGCTTTAGTCTTCATTTCTGAAACATTTTTATTTCTAATTGTTTCTTGAATCTGATCATCTCATTTCTGAGTTTTTCTAATTACAACTTATGTTATCCTTTCATATCTTTTTAAAATGACTTTTAGTTTTGAAATATTAGGTTAAAGTTCTCATTACTTTATTAGCATATCTTTCTGACACAACTGTGTGATCTATTGGTGCATAACTTTTGCTTATTCTCTTCATTCTTATAATAATTTTGTATGTAATTTGACTTTAATCTGTTCTTTTGCTCATTTTTACATAAAATTAATTTTCTTAAATTTTTAGAAGGGAGACTTGGTTCAGAATATTTATGTTTTCTACCTCTAGAGCATTTTCTTCTCTTTTAAAAGATACTCAAACTATGGCAGCTTACTTTCAGAGATTTCCTGGTTATTACCTCTCCCACATTTATCTGGGTCATCTTTTTCCTTTGTTCTAGTGTCACTATATTACTTAATTTGGATTCTATTTCAAATAGTTTTCCTCAGTATAGGGTTCTGTCCTACAGGGGATCTGTAGTTGATTAGCTAGAGATATAAGAAGCTCTAGCTCCACAGGTCTGTGAACCCCTTGAACATTCAGAATATGCCATCCTCTCCCACTTTCAGCTGCTGTAGTCAAACTGGCTTGCTGAGTTTTCAACTGACTGCTAGTTATGTTAGGTATCAGGTCTATCTGATGCCTCAATGCTTTTAATTGCCTTCTCTAGTATACATGCTGATACCACACAGATCTTGCAGTTACATATCAGTTTATTCCCACTCATTCACACCTTGTGGCTTGTGAGGAAGTATCCTCACTTGTATTTATTATTAAGTGTTATACATTAGTTTTGATCTTGCCATCTTTAGTTTCTTTGCTATTTAACTTACTTGTCCATAAAGAGCTTGTGCCAGAAATGAACATTCTTCACTGAGGAAGTCTTGCTACAAAAAAAAATTTCAGCTCATCTAATCTGTGTGCTTAGTGATGTAGTAGATTTACATTCTGGTACAAGTTCCTTATCTTGTGGTGAACTAGTAACAAAGGGTTCATTAATAGCAGCATGTCTTAAGTAGCACCAATTTTCAGACTTGTTTTAAGAAAAATTCAATACCAATTTGTAGAACAATTAGGTTAATTCAAAAGCAGTAATTCAAAGTTCTTTGATCAAAGAGTTCTAAAATCTAATTGGTTGTGGGCAACAGTTGTTGTTTTTTATTCATTAGCTTCATTACATTTGTAGTTTTTACTCTAATTATGTCTATTCAGAAATATTTATAAATTTTAACAACTACAACTTTTAGTTTGGTTGATAAAGTGTTGCAGCTTGTTTGGATACATGTGAGTTACATGTGTTCCACAATCAATTTCAAAAACCTTTATGCTTTATATTTGAGCTTTGTGAAATGCATTTTTTAAAATCACAGCACTACTTGTATTATAACAACAAAAACAAACAAATGTTTTTAAAGTTGAACTCTTAAACTAAATTTAAATGGTATTTACAATAATGCCAAATGTTTCATCTTTGCTAGAATGACTTCTAAAAGCTTGATTCCAGCAATTGGATGAAAAAACTGAATTATTACTGGAATTGACTGTACTTGAACTACATGATGGCCTGGACATTATTTAACAGTAAGATTATTATTATGTAATAGAGTAAACCCAATAAGAGCTACAGCTTCATGTTTTTATATGGAAAAGATAATCTGGTGTTAAAGAGGAATAAAATTAATTATAAGAATTGAGAAGTTATAAAAGAAAAATTGAGATTTACAGAATGATATGCAAATGTATTCTATGCAATTGCACCTATTAAAATGTTATTTTCAGGTTAATGTCTTAAAATAACTCCTAACTTTGGAAATATATACTTTACCAGATTTGTATATCCTGGTTCTATCCTAGTTTTCAGTGAATTCACTATAGCTCTCGTGGTGGTTGGTAAATATTAAGTATTTACAGCAAGTTTCATGTACATTGGTTTTCTTAAGAAAAAGGATATCAATATTTAATTTTCCACTAAATATACAATTTGCTTTTTATTTCTCTCTTTGCTGCCAAAAGGGTTTGATGCAAAATACAAGTCTCAGCAAACAATGAAATAAATAGTTGTAGATTTTTACCACGCAATGAAGGGAAAAATCATTGCAGCGAGAATCCTGACTTCTCTTTATATGCTCTGCAAAAAGATTCCTCAGCTTATATTTCTCACACATATAATCTAGAATTTCCCACATTTCTCAATGACTCTGTCAGCTGGTAGCCTACTGGCTCCATGTATTTCACAGATCAAACAACTGATCATTATCCCACATGGCTGACTGGAGAATCTGTACTAAATATTCTTCCGCCAGAATCCAGGACCAAAAGAAATTAGCTGTTCATATTTGCATTATTTTATAAGCAAATGCCCCACAGCTGTCCTTGAATGGGATGTGTTATGTTAAGCCTTAAAAAGGTCAGGAAAAAGACAAGAGTTATCACTGGTCATCTTTCAGATTTAACCATGCGCTTAAGTGAGGACTTGTTCACTCTTCATGTTTCTCATTTACTACCATGTGAGGCTAGGACAGAAGATGAAAATAAAAAATAAAAATTTTATCAAACTTTTCTTGGCTTATTTTAATGTTAATAGTAATAATACTTCATCATATATACGCTACACATAAGACATGATAAACTTTTCTTCAGTTACTTCTACACTAGTTATAATTAACTAGAGGCCCAGTGCATGAATTCATGCACCAGTAGGTTATCTTGGCCTGGCCTGTGGAATTGGGCTGAAACCAGCTCTCTGACATCCCCTGAGAGGTCCTGGATTGCAAGAGGGTGCAGGCTAGGCCGAGGGATCCCACTGGTGCATGATCAGGGCCAGGCAGGGATACGGGAGGTTGGCCAGCTGGGGAGGGACCGCAGGAGAGCTCCAGGGTGTGTTTAGCCTGTCTCACTCAGTCCTGATCCACCAGACCCCAACAGCAAGCTAACCAGACTGTCAGCAGCCTGGTGGTCAGTGCACATCATAACTAGTGGTTGAGCAGCCTTAGCATATTATGCTTTCATTGGTTAAACAAATGACCAGACACTTAGCATATTATATTTTTATTGTATAGGACAGACTACATGAAGGGTTTTGAACTTTCTTGTAGTCATGTGGGGATCAAGATGAATTTTAAGTAAGGTAATAACATGTTATGATTTGCATTTTTCCAAGCACTTCAGCTGTTGTGTGGGAAATGGACCACACAGAATAAAAGTATAGTTAATAATGCTTTGGATTGATAAGAGTAATGACAACCAGTAATGATATGCCAGTTCCTATGCTAATCATTCTATATAATAAAAGCCTAATATGCTAAGTGTCCGGTCAACCATTCAACCAATTAAAGCATAATATGCTAATGATATGCAAGGCCACTCAACCACTTGCTATGATGTGCACTGGCCACTAGGGGGCAGAGAGTCAACTGGTTGACCAATCGCTATGACATGCACTGACCACCAGGGAGCAGATGCTCCAATCCATAGGTTAGCTTGCTGCTGGGGTCTGGCCAATCAGGACTGAGCAAGATGGGCCGGACACACCCTGGAACCTTCCCACAGTCCCTCCCTGGCTGGCCAACCTCCTGCGTCCCTCCCTGGCCCCGATCGTATACCAGTGGGGTCACTTGGCTCGGCCTGTACCCTCATGCAAACTGGGACTCCTCAGGGGATGTCCAAGAGTTGGTTTCAGCCCAATGGCAGAACGACCGGTTGGTATGATACACACTGACTACCATGGAGCAGATGCTTAGTGCAGGAGCTGCCCCATGGTGGTCAGTGCACTCTCACAGAGGGAGCACTGCTCAGCCAGAAACTGGGCTCATGGCTGGCAAGTGCAGCAGCAGTGGTGGGAGCCTTTCCTGCCTCCAGCAGTGGTGGGAGCCTCTTCTCCCCTGGGGGCTCCCAGACTGCAAGAGGGTGCAGGCCAGGCTGAGGAACCCACCCAAGGGCACGAACTTCGTTGACTGAGTTTCTACTGTTATATATATAATCTCAATGAATCTTCACAATAAACTTGTTGGTATTATTGTTCCCATTGTATAGCTAAGGCTATTAAGAATTAGAAAAGTTAGATAAATTGCTCATGGTCACCCAGCTGACAGGTGGTCACACAGTTAATAAGTGGTAAAGCCAAATAAAATTCTGTTTTGCTTAAAACTTAATGTTTTAAAATATACTTTTACTTTTTAATATTTCCCCCCTATTAGTCTCCTTGAGAGTAGCAACTATAGTTACATATCCCAACACTTAAATACTTTCTGAGTTAAAAATGAATATATTTATATTAAAGTAGTTAGGAAATACCTATCTGGCAAAATTTTGTAGGTATAAAGCTCTAGTAATCCCAGATTAAAACTTTACAACTTAAAATTTTTACAAATATTTATAAACCTTTACATAATTAACCTGAAAGCAAGATTTTACTGCTTCTCACATAGAAAGAAAAATGTATAAACTTACTATCTCCCTTCAATAGGTTCAATGTCCAGGCTGTTAACTCCATTGCTGTGAATCCTTTCAACATCTCTGTCTTTGTTTAACTCCAGTCCCAAAACCCTTAAAAAAAAACAATTTAAAATTAAACAAGGGGGGGTGGGGTGGGAAATAAAATAAAACAATAAGAAAAATAATTCAAACATAAAAAAATGTCCTTACTCTTACTAAGATTAGATACAGTACAAACATCACAAGTAAGCCCTGGCCAGGTGGCTCAGTTGATTGGATCATCCCATATGCCAAAAAGGATACAGGTTCACTCTGATCAGGGCACATACCTAGGCTGTGGGTTCAATCCAGTGTTTCTCACATACATATTTCTTTCTTTTTCTCTCCCTGCTTTCCTCTGTCTCTAAAATCAATAAAGACATCTTTGGGGGGAAGGGAAACTTAAAAAATGCAAATAATGTTTAAGTTTCTTTCTTAAATTTTTATGGATTTTTAAAGACCTTACACAAAATTTTAAAATATAAAAATACTAACAATCCTGTAAATAATTTTTCCTGAAGTACTCTCTTAAACTTAATTTATATAGGTTCCAGATGTGGGTTTCTATGTTACAAGAACTGTATATTATACCATGTGCTAATGTCTTAAAATAAGTCCTAACTTTGGAAATATATACTTCTTTACCAGATTTGTATATCCTGGTTTTCAGTGAATTTACTATAGCTCTCGTGGTGGTTGGTAAATAATAAGTATTTAGAGCAAGTTTCATGTACATTGGTTTTCTTAAGAAAAAGGATAACAATATTTAATTTTACACTAATATACAATTTGCTTTTTATTTCTCTTTTTGCTGCCAAAAGGGTTTGATGCAAAATACAAGTCTTAGCAAACACTGAAATAAATAGGTCAAATCTTCTACTGTCACCATATATTAGGACACCCCCCTGAGCCTCTAACCCTTTCCCGCTGGCAACCACCACACTACTGGTTGTGTTCATGAGTTTGTTTTATACCCCACATTTGAATGAAATCATATGGTTCTTAGCTTTTTCTGAATGACTTATTTCACTTAGCAAAAAGTTCTCAAGGTCTATCCATGTTGTTGCAAATAATGCTACTTCTTCCTTCCTTATGCCTGAGTAGTGGTCCACTGTGTATATGTGCCACATCTTCTTTAGCCAGTCCTTTAAACTTAATTTAAAGAGTGTATTTTATTAAATTTTTATTCATATATTTAGATACAAATTTTCATGGAAATTTAAACTGATAAATTCAGCTGAGGACACCTAGTGGACAAAAGCTTAAATTACAGTATGTTAAATAAATTCCAGGAGCATTTCCTATGCCTTAGGTGTAAATATAAAATGAGTATGTTTAACTCAACAATTAGACACATTTAAATAAAGCCAATTAAATATTTATAAATAAATTAATAATCTCATAAATTAAGATGAATGACATTTTTGATATTCTATAGCTGTAAACCATCATTATTCTGGTCAGGCTATTAAAATTAAATGAGCCGAAACCGGCTTGGCTCAGTGGATAGAGCTTCGGCCTGTGGACTGAAAGGTCCCAGGTTCGATTCCAGTCAAGGACATGTACGTTGGTTGCAGGCACATCCCAGGTAAAGGGTGTGCAAGAGGCAGCTGATCGATGATTCCCTCTCATTGATATTTCTAACTCTTTATCCCTCTCTCTTCCTCTGAAAAAATCAATAAAATATATTTAAAAGAAAGATTAAATGAGTTAATACATAAAAAGTGCTCATTACAATGCCTAGACATAGTAAGTGCTTAGTGAATGTTAACTATTAAAACTGTCTCAATCTCTACCATGTTAAAAATAATTTACAATAATTTAACCAGATGATTTCTAAATTCATTGTTGATGAATATATTAATTTATATGAAATGTTTACCCCACCAAATTAATCAGTTTAAAAAAAACACAATGTAGTGCTAGAAAAGTTTCAAACTGATATTTTTATAGCAGCACTGATAATTTAAACCATTTTGGATATCATTTTAGCACTAGAAAGTTGATTTAAAGATATACATGGCCCTTTGTTTTCTGGAAGACAGTTTAGCCTTAGGTTCACTTACTACTTCTCTGACCTTGCCCAATAACAATAACAGTTAATAATAAAAGTCAGCTATTTAATGACATTGTAATCAGTGGTAATAGTAAGTGTAACAAGTAGTAATCCTAACTTGTAGAATTCCTAGATAGTAGATTATATTATTAAATGCTTTTCTTGACTTTTAAACTAATTAGCTAAACTGCATCTGAACTCTGACTTTTTCTTTCTCCAGATCACCATGCTGTCCTGGCATTTCTAAATTTCCACCTGAAAATAGTTTTTTTTTTCCCATTGAAATTCCATTTCTTCTTAAAATATTTTTTCCATTTTATGATTATTCAAGTTATGACAGAAATATGTGTTTCCTGTAACAAGCAAAATATTAAACAAACATATACAAAGGTAATCCATCATCCCTTCCTTGAGTTCTCTTCTAACAATGAGAAACATGGCGTTCATTATCATTAATGTATTAATTTATCTGGTCAGTCCCCCTGTATATAACTAATCTCCTATCATCACTACCATCCCCTTCGCCAATAAGGATGCTACTCAGGAGGCTTGGGCTTCGATTTCTGCAACTCCAAACTCCCTTATCACCTTGAGATTGTGAGTTCCCACACTCAGACTACCTCCTCAGGCTCAGAGATATCACTCTGGGCCAACCTAATTCCTGTTTGGAAGCGTACCTCTGCCCAACCTCAAGACTTTCGGACTGAATTGTTTGGGAACTATGAGAAATCAAAATGAAGGGAAAGTGGGAGGGTAGTACTGTAAGACAGGAAAACGGGTAAGGTGTGTGTGGAAGGAGGCAAAGTGTTAATAATAAAAAAGAGTTAATATCGCAGGTCTGAAAGGCTTACTTGCAAGATTGGCCCTTGCCTGGTTTCTGGGATGAGAATGGCTCACTGGAGGAGGATGGTTCACTGTGCCTAAAGTATTTGGAGCAAACAATATGCTTTATGTGGAATGCGTGCTTTCCTTCTGGAAGGCTGGGATTTGTATACATCCTAGCTACGTGCGTGTCCATACACAGAATTTTAATACATGCTCCAAAAGAGGAGTAAAGCCGAGTTTGGTAAGAGGAAAGTGATAGAGAGTAAGGCCAGCAAGTATGAGGCAAGGCCAACACAGCTATTGATCCAATTTTTAACTGGCCTATCAGAAAGAAAGAGTAATGTTTTCTATACCTGCGTGTGGACTCCGCTCTTTGTAGGTGAAGAGGGTCGTCCAATCCGGCTTGTCGCGCCGACAAAAAACCTAGCATCCCGTTCCTGTGCGCAAATGGGTACACTGGCGGCGGCCATGACAGAGCTCGGGGGCGGGGCTCTAACAACGCCGCCTCCCATTGGGAGAGCCAGGAAGCCATCTGACCAATGGTGAGCGCCGGTACTGGGAGGGCGCGAGGCCAGTGGGCGTTCCCAGGCTGGTGGGCGGGGCGTGCTTGTTGAGGTCGCGGCGGCCCCAGCAGCAGCAGCAGCAGCAGCAGCACCTCACGCTGGGACCCGGGCGCCGCCATGGGCTGGTCTCGGGATCTGGTCCGCACCGTGTGGAGAGCGCTGTCCAAGGAGGTGAAGCAGCTGGTGGGCACAGACCAGTACGGGAACAAATACTACTACATCCCGGCGTACAAGAACTGGAGAGGTGAGATGCCAGCGGGGGCAGCGGAGGCGCGATCCCTGCACGGGAGGGGCAAGGGAGGGCGCCCCGTAAACTAAAGCCACGCGCGACGCGTGTGATGGCACCTGAGGGGACAATCCGAGTTCGTTCGCCCCGCCATCCCTTCACGTTGGCAATTTTCACGGACCGCTGTCGTGCCGCGGCCCGGCCAGGCCCGGCCCGGTGCTGCCCGCAGCCCTTGGTCTGTGCGCCGGGCCAGACCCCCGCGAGCTCGGCACCCCCCCCCCCCCCGCCTCTCCCCGCGCGGGCATCTGACGCCCCAGGGTGGGTCCTTGCCTTTGGGCGATGTAGAGGGGGACAAGTCCACCGAGATCTTTTAGCCGAGGTCCTCGGAGAGGCCAAAAAGTGGCCTTCCCTCCTCCCGGGCCCCGTTGGGACCCGCCGGAGTGGTGTAATGGAAGGGGAGTAGCTTCAGCGCCTCTGCTCTCATCTCTTCTTCGCGCTGACCTTTTCCCCCCAGTAGTTCGGGACTGTCTCCAAGCCGCACCTTCCTTACCATCAAAACCTGTCCGAGTATGTCAGTGCACCCTAAGCCAGTGGAAAAGTGATCCCCACGAGGCTCCACGTTACCTTTCTTGCCAGTTTTCCATTCAAGGCCCCTGTGGAGCTCACTTGACAGTACGCGGCTCTAAATCGTGAGATTTCTGTGCGAAGAACTTAGTGAGATTTGAGGAGTTAGGGACGTTCCTGTCCGCTGAAATCCCATCACCTAGCGGCAGTCGTCATAACCTCTTCTGTTGGGGCCCACACCGCGATGCAAAAGATCTTCGGCTTTAGGGTCAAAAAAGGGCTTGGTTTAGAATGTCAACTTTAAGATCTAAGAGTTGAGGGATCGTGTTGTATTTGTTCCTCCACAAGTCTCAGCTTCTTTGCTACTAAGAAGCGGTAAAACTTACCCAAAGTTGTGTTCCATTCATTTCTCATAACTCTTGACAAAGGGAACTGCTTTTTCCTTCCTCACACAGCATATATAAAGTGCATTCTGTGATTTATCACTCAAAGTTGTTGGCCTAGCCTTTTTCTGTAACTTAGTTTAATATTTTAGATGTTTCCCTAAATGAGCTGCTAAACTCTTTCAGGGTAAAGAATAGCTCTTTTTCAGTAAATTCTATACTTTTTGATGTATGGTTTTATGATTCTTGAAAAATGTTTAGAGTCATGTAACTATCCTTGCCACAATCAAGATACAGAACAGTTCCTTCACCCCACCCCACCCGCTCCTGGCAGATTCCCTCCTAGCCCTTGGTGCTTCATTCCCTCACCCCACACCCAGAGCTTGGCAATCTTTGATCTGTTTTATGTCCCTGTGGTTTCGTCTTTTCAATAAATGGAATTTTATGGGTGTAGTCTTTTGAATCTAGTTTATTTCCCATAGCACAATGCAGTTGAATTTCATTTTGTGTCAGTTGTTCCTTTTTATTGCTTAATAGTATTCTACTCTTAACTTTTCCTAATACTGAGCTAAGGCTGATGTTCCCAAAATGGAATTGGTTGTCTGGAAAGGCAGAGATAGCAGTGGCTAGAAGGTAACAGTGATGCTGCTATTTATTTATTTATTTTACATTTTATTTTTTTACCTTCACCTGAGAACATGTCTCCTTGGTTGTCCCATAATGCTGTTATTTATTGATTGATTTGTTTACTTATTGTTGCAGTTTGTGTAAATTGAGCTTCTTTACATTTTGATTGCTAATATGTTTTTAAACCTCTTGTAATTTACGGTATGGATTCTCTTTATGTTGATTCCCCTCCCTGCCCAACACACAAACCTCTGCTTTTTTATTAGTGGATGTTGGGGAAAAAAGCTACTTTTTAAAAGATATTCTAAATATATTTTTATTGGTTTCAGAGAGGGAGAGAGAGATAGAAACATCAGTGATGGGAGAGAATTATGGATTGGCTGCCTCCTGTCCACCTATCACTGAGGATCAAAGCCTGCAACACAGGCATGTGCTCTTGACCAAAATCAAACTCAGGACTCTTAGTCCCCAGGTTGACCTATCCACTGAGCCAAACCGGCTAGGGCAAAAGCTATTTCTTTCTTTCTTTTTTTAAGTTTATTGATTGATTTTAGAGATAAAAGAAACTGATATTTCACTTATTTATGCATTCATTGCTTGATTCTTATATGTCCCCTGATGAGGGATCTGCAATCTTGGTATATCAGGGTAACGCTCTAACCAACTGAGCTACCAGAATGGGATGCTGCTGCTGCTGCTGCTGCTGCTTCTCTTCTTCTTCTTCTTCTTCTTCAATAATGCCATTAACCCATTCATATTTGTTGTAATAAGTGGTAAACTTAGTCTTACTTTAGTAATCTTGATTTTGATGTTTTTTGTTATGTTCTCTTATTATTCAGTACCCTCCTTAGATGTATTTTGCAGCACAGCCTCCGTTTTACTTGAAATTGGCTATTTTTATGAAGTGAGTTCTGAGTGAATGCTACACCCTGTGTCTTCCTACAGGGCTCCGATAGAATTTCTCTGGGAAAACTGTATTCAGTACTTAGGATGCCTTCACTTTCAGCCTCTGCAAATGGGAATCTTAAGTGTCAGTATCAAGTCAGAGTTATAGTAGCCTTTGAGAAAGGGGACAGAGCTCACTGGGATACTCTGCACATGCTGTTGTTAAGAGTCTTTTATTTTTCTTTTAACTTTCTTTTGTGACAGCTTGCAAGCAGTTCTTATTAGTGATAGCTAAAACTCCCTGTGGGGGTGCTGGTGGCATTTTCAAATTCCTTTGACTTGACTCTTAGCACTTGTTTGCCCCTTGCTCTCAGTCCTGCTGCTCTAATCTTAGGATTTTCTCAATATTTCTTTTTGAGAAACCCATATAGATTCTTTCCAGACTATAGCCCATATGTCTATGCTGATTCACAGGCTAGTCAGCACTGCTGAGTTTGCCTTCCATCTCATCCTGTATCATTTATTGTTTTTCTCATGTGACAAATATTTATTTAGCACTGCTTTATGCAAAACATATTCATTTTATGTATTTTAGATTTATTTGCCTCAGTTTCTGATCTATTAGTATCTTTTTTAAAAAGAAATAAATCTTTATTGTTCAGATTATTACAATTGTTCCTCTTCTTTTCCCCCCATAGCTCCCCTCCACCTGGATCCCACCCTACCCCATGCCTTTCCCACCCCCTTCCCACTGTCCTTATCCATAGGTGTACGATTTTTGTCCAGTCTTTTCTAGCACCCCACACCTTCTTCCCCCAGAGAATTGTCTGTCCACTCCCTTTCTATGCCCCTGATTCTGTTATATTCACCAGTTTTTTCTGTTCATCAGATTTTTTATTCACTTGATTTTTAGATTCACTTGTTGATAGATATGTATTTGTTGTTCATAATTTTTATCTTTACCTTTTTCTCCTTTTTCCTCTTCTTAAAGAATACCCTTCAGCATTTCATATAACATGGTTTGGTGGTGATGAACTCCTTTAGCTTTGTCTTATCTATGAAGCTGTTTGTCTGACCTTCAATCTTGAATGAGAGCTTTATTGGGTAGAGTAATCTTGGTTGTAGGTTGCTATTCATCACTTTCAATATTTCTTGCCACTCCCTTCTGGCCTGCATAGTTTCTGTTGAGAAATCAGCTGACATTCGTATGGCTATTCCCTGATAGGTAACTAACGGTTTTTCTCTTGCTGCTTTTAATATTCTCTCTTTGTCTTTTGCTCTTGGCTCTAGACATATGATGTGTCTTGGTGTGGTCCTCTTTGGATTCCTTTTGTTTGGGGTTCTGTGCACTTCCTGGACTTGTAAGTATATTTCTTTCACCAGGGAAGTTTTCTATCATTATTTCTTCAAATAGGTTTTCAGTATTTTGCTTTCTCTCTTCTTCTGGTACCCCCATAATTTGGATGTTGGTATGCTTAAAGTTGTCCCACAGACTCCTTACACTATCTTCATATTTTTGGATTCTATTTTCTTTTCCGGTTGAGTGTTATTTGCTTCTTTGATTTATCAAATCTTTGACTTGATTCTTGTGATCCTCTAGTCTGCTGTTGGATCTCTGTATATTATTCTTTATTTCAGTCAGTGTATGCTTAATTTCTAGTTGGTCCTTTTTCATATCCTTGAGGATCTCATTAAATTTATCAGCCTTTTCTAAAAATTCTTGAAAACCCTTATAACAGTGGTTTTGAATTCTATATCCAGTAGTTTGCTTTCCTTCATTTCTTTCATTTGTGACCAGTTTCTTTGTCTCCGCATTTTGGCTGCTTCCCTATGTTGATAGAGTAGCTTTGTGTGCCAGGTGTCCTATAGGGCCCAGTGGTTCAGCCACCCCAGTTACCTGATGTGGACACTCTTGGCGCACTCCTTTGTGGGCTGTGTGCACAGTCTTGTTGTAGTTAAGCCTTGATTGTTGTTGGTATCACTGGGAGGAATTGACCTCCAGGCCAATTGACTGTGAGGATCCTGTGTCTACCATGGGAAACTTCTGTGCTGGAGACACCCTTATGAGGCAAGACTTGCTTCAGTGGGGCTTTGGTGCTGAGTCTACCCCCTGAGTGTGTCCCTTATGGATCTGAGGAGTTGAAATCTGGATGATCCTACTCTGACCCGTAGGTACATTGGC